TACGGACCTAGTCCGTATAATTGCTACTATCAACTTTCAACTAAATTTTCTCTAGGAACATATCTAAAACAGTAGAACTAAAATGCAAGCTACGACATAATTTGCAAAGACCTTTTGACTATGTTCAGGATAATTAAGTTCATCTAATGAACTCCCACTCAGATAGACATCCCTCTAGTCATCTAAGTGATACATGATCCGAGTCAACTAGGCCATGTCCGATCATCACGTGAGACGGACTAGTCATCATCGGTGAACATCTTCATGTTGATCGTATCTACTATATGACTCATGTTCGACCTTTCGGTCTCTTGTGTTCCGAGGCCATGTCTGTACATGCTAGGCTTGTCAAGTCAACCTAAGTGTTTCACGTGTGTAAATCTGGCTTACACCCGTTGTATGTGAATGTTAGAATCTATCACACCTGATCATCACGTGGTGCTTCGAAACAACGAACTTTCGCAACGGTGCACAGTTAGGGGGAACACTTTCTTGAAATTATTATGAGGGATCATCTTATTTACTACCGTCGTTCTAAGCAAATAAGATGCATAAACATGATAAACATCACATGCAATCAAAAAAGTGACATGATATGGCCAATATCATTTTGCTCCTTCTGATCTCCATCTTCGGGGCTCCATGATCATCATCGTCACCGGCATGACACCATGATCTCCATCATCGTGTCTCCATGAAGTTGTCTCGCCAACTATTACTTCTACTACTATGGCTAACGGTTTAGCAATGAACTAAAGTAATCACATGGCGTTATTCAGTGACACGCAGGTCATACAATAAATAAAGACAACTCCTATGGCTCCTGCCGGTTGTCATACTCATCGACATGCAAGTCGTGATTCCTATTACAAGAATATGATTCACCTCATACATCACATATATTTCATTCATCACATCCTTCTTGACCATATCACATCACACGGCATATGCTGCAAAAACAAGTTAGACGTCCTCTAATTGTTGTTTGCATGTTTTACGTGGCTGCTATGGGTTTCTAGCAAGAACGTTTCTTACCTACGCAAAAGCCACAACATGATATGCCAATTGCTATTTACCCTTCATAAGGACCCTTTTCCTCGAATCCGATCTGACTAAAGTGGGAGAGACTGGCACCCGCTAGCCACCTTATGCAATAAGTGCATGTCAGTCGGTGGAACCTGTCTCACGTAAGTGTACGTGTAAGGTCGGTCCGGGCCGCTTCATCCCACAATACCGTCGAAACAAGATAGGACTAGTAACGGTAAGCATATTGAACAAAATCAACGCCCACAACAACTTGTGTTCTACTCGTGCATAGAATCTACGCAATAAACCTAGCTCATGATGCCACTCTTGGGGAACGTAGCAGAAATTCAAAATTTTCTACGCATCACCAAGATCTATCTATGGAGAGACTAGCAACGAGAGAGAGGGGAGTGTATCTACATACCCTTGTAGATTGCTATGCGGAAGCATTACAAGAACGCGGTCGGTGGAGTCGTACACGAAGCGATTTAGATCGCGGCCGAATCCGATCTAAGCACCGAAGAACGGTGCCTCCGTGTTCAACACACGTGTAGCCCGGTGACGTCTCTCGTGCCTTGATCCAGCAAGGGAAGAGGGAGAGGTTGGGGAAGACTCCTCCAGCAGCAGCACGACGGCGTGGTGGTGGTGGAGGAGCGCGGTACTCCAGTAGGACTTCGCCAAGCACTACGAGAGACGAGGAGGGAGAGAGGTAGGGCTGCGCCTTGGGAGAGAGAGACTCATCTTTATGGCAGCCCCAAACCCCCACTATATATAGGGGAAAGGGAGGGGCTGCGCCCCCACCTAGGGTGGCGGCCAGCCCTAGATCCCATCTAGGGGGGCGGCCAAGGGGAAGAGAGGGGGGGCGCACCACTAGGTGGGCCTTAGGCCCATCTGAGCCTAGGGTTTCCCCCCTTTCCCTTCTCTCTTCACCTTGGGCCCTGGTGGGGGGCGCACCAGCCCACTTGGGGCTGGTCCCCTCCCACACTTGGCCCACGCAGCCCTCTGGGGCCGGTGGCCCCACCTGGTGGACCCCCGGGACCCTCCCGGTGGTCCCGGTACGTTACCGATAGCACCCGAAACTTTTTCGGTGACCAAAATAGGACTTCCCATATATAAATCTTTACCGCTGGACCATTTCGGAACTCCTCGTGACGTCCGAGATCTCATCCGGGACTCCGAACAACATTCGGTAACCACGTATATCTATTCCCTATAACCCTAGCGTCATTGAACCTTTAGTGTGTAGACCCTACGGGTTCGGGAACCATGCAGACATGACCGAGACAACTTTCCGGCCAATAACCAACAGCGAGATCTGGATAGCCATGTTGGCTCCCACATGTTCCACGATGATCTCATCGGATGAACCACGATGTCAAGGATTCAATCAATCCCGTATACAATTCCCTTTGTCTACTGGTATAGTACTTGCCCGAGATTCGATCGTCGGTATCCCGATACCTTGTTCAATCTCGTTACCGGCAAGTCTCTTTACTCGTTCCGTAACACATCATCCAGCGATCAACTCCTTGATCACATTGTGCACATTATGATGATGTCCTATCGAGTGGTCCCAAAGATACCTCTCCGTCACACAGAGTGACAAATCCCAGTCTCGATTCGTGCCAACCCAACAGACACTTTCAGAGATGCCCATAGTGCACCTTTATAGCCACCCAGTTACGTTGTGACGTTTGGTACACCCAAAGCATTCCTACGGTAACCATCTGTTGATCAACGAGCTAGTCAACTAGAGGCTCACTAGGGACATGTTGTGGTCTATGTATTCACACATGTATTGCGGTTTCCGGTCAATACAATTATAGCATGAATAATAGACAATTATCATGAACAAGGAAATACAATAATAACCATTTTATTATTGCCTCTAGGGCATATTTCCAACACTATTTGTAATATCAGAAAAAGAGAGCAATAACCCGTCCGTTCACTCACTTTACTTCATGCCACGCCATGCAACACGCGTCGTGTTTCATGAATCGAGTTTGAGTTTCGACTAATGTTATGCGCCTTGCTGGAAGAACTAAATTTTTGCTCCACAATGCATTGCCTTGTTCTGGGTGTATGTGTCAATACCCGAGCTCATTGTTGGCACACTTTCTACCCTCAAGAGTTCTTTCACCATGTGTCAGTTATATCTCTTCACCCTCCCACCACGCCCTGTCTTTGTAGAGGAGAGACGCTATGCAGAGCGAAGAACACATAATAGACCACAGTAAACACACACGTTCCCGAGTTCTTCTGTGCTGAGTTGCTTCTTCGACCACCTCATCCTGACAATTGGGTGCACAATCATCGGGAGAGCAGGCCTTCGAAACGTGTCCCTTGAGAACCTGCACCTAGGAGAGGGGTGATAAGGTTTTTGGGAGCGCCTCAACGGGACTTCTCGCTCAACTTTGACTACATCATCGACATAGATGTGTTTCTAATCGTCATGATTTGTCATGTCAGCACTCCTGTGTTGATGCCAGTCCTGATTAAGCCTAACAAAAAACTGCCCAAATTCCAGACACAAAACTCATTAATTAGTTTGTAATTAGCTTATCGTAGTTGTAAAATTAACACTACGATTGTAGCCAACCCATACTGCTTGCATCCGTAAACCCTCCCTCCGTCCGGAAATATTTGTCGGAGGAATGGATGTATCTAGACGTATTTTAGTTCTAGATACATCCATTTTTATCCATTTCCGTGACAAGTAATTTCGGACGGAGGGAGTAGTATATATATCTTGCAATAAAAATACAAAAGGAAAATAATAGCTGCTCGTGGGGATTCCTAACATGCGTGTTGTTGGGTCGCCGTCGCGTTGCGTCACAGGAGTGCACAACAGCCTAACACCATGGATGCAAGCTGTATATCATTCCAAGAAAGCCGAAACACACTCAAGATCAAACTAACGCACTTGATTAGCGTATGGAATAAAATCCACCCCGCTGCCTCGCTTGACGCCGAAGCTTCCATCGATCTCCCCGTACGACCGACCAGCCACGCTCCCGGCCAGCTAGCCCAGGCACAGTAACAGGCACGTTGCCCGCCCTGCCGTGCAGCGGGGACGACGATCGGGGGCCGAAGCGGCGGCGTCAGTTCCGCGGCCAGATTCCTCGCGTGCCCGCTGCTGCAGCCTGGCTCCCACCACTCGCACAGCGCATCTGTCAGTAAGCTCCTCGATCCATATATCGAGCTGTTTCTTCTGACAACACCTCCGCTTCTTCGCTTTGTTTAATCGTCATTATCATCGCAGGTCGCCGCTAAGATCCCGTTCCCATCGATCGCCCCAAAACACCTGAGAATGAGTTATTACGGAGCCATTTACGTCCGCACGTACGGTCGATCTGATCCGTCCATTTATCCAGGATCGGACGGCTCCGGAGGCCCCTGCGACGGGCCATCGGTCCCGGTCTCCATCAGCCGGCCGCGGGGTTGTTCCTTGCACGGCACCGCGGGCGGCGCGGCGCGAGGTCAACAACCATGGAAACGTCATGATCCCATCCCCCCATTGGCATTGGCATTGGCATTGGGTTGCCGTCAGAATTTTGGTGCGAGAGCGACGGGTTGAGCCACCAAATCTATCTATCTCCATTCTCCAAGGTCAGTCAGGCGTCGCCCCAGGCGAGTCCAAACGCCCGCACCACAAAGACACCACGGTGGGGTGGGGTGGGGTGGTGGGGTGATCCCCATTACCTCCGCGATCAGCGGTCGAGCCCGACACGTGACGCGTCGTCGCCCGCACCCACCACCCAAGGGCCAAGGAGAGGGCAGGGGGATACCCAACCCAAAACCAAGACCAAGTGCCCGACCTCGCCTCACGCGCAGCCGCCGGCCGTGCCCCGTGCCGACTACTCGCTCGCTCGCTCGCTTCCACCAGAAATCCCCCAACCCGCGGCTGACTCACTCCCGTCTCCCCCCGGATCCCGATCTGCGCTGCCGGCTGGCTTGGCTGGGCGGGGGCGATGGAGGAAGGGCGCGAGGGATGGCCGAGCGCGGCGGCCGCGGCGGGGGAGGCGGTGGGGGTGGAGGAGGGGGAGGAGGACCAGTTCGACCGCCTGCCCGACGCGGTGCTCCTGGACGTATTCAACCGCATCGGCGACGTCAAGGCGCTCGGCCGCTGCGCGCTCGTCTCGCGCCGCTTCCACGACCTCGTCCCGCTCGTTGACTCCGTCTTCGTCCGCGTCGACTGCGTCATTCCCGACGAGCCGGCCCCCTCCTCGGCCGGCTCCCCGCAGGCCGCCGCCCCGTCTAGGGGCCGGGGCGCGCTCGCCCACATCGCGCGCCTCGTGCTCGGCGGCATCGTCAGGCCCATCCAGGCGCTCGGCCAGATCCTCTCCCCCACCCTGGCCATCGTCTCCCGCCGCTCCGTGGCCCCTCCGCCCGCCTCGCCGCCTCCGCCCGCCGGGGACATCTCCCACCACTCGCCCTCCGAGGTCCTCCGCTCCTTCAAGGAGCTACGCAGCCTCCGCATCGAGCTGCCCACCGGCGAGCTCGGCATTGACGACGGCGTGCTCCTCAAGTGGAAGGCCGACTTTGGGTCCACCCTCGGCAGCTGCGTTATCCTCGGCGCATCCTCTGTGTCGTCCAAGCCGCTGCAGCCACCAATGTCGTCCCCTGATGCCGCAGACAGCGAGGGTACTTCTCTCGATGACAACAGGGAGCCTGAAGAATTGGCGAGCATCCCCGAGTCGCTTCATACGAATGGGGGCCTTAAGCTCCGCGTCGTCTGGACCATCAGCTCGCTGATTGCTGCATCGGCTCGGCATTACTTGCTGCAGCCAATCATCGCCGATCATGAAATGCTTGATAGCTTGAACCTAATGGATGCTGACGGGCAGGGTGTGCTCACTATGGACAAGAGTCAGCTACAGGAGCTGCGAGTGCGGCCTGTGTCGGTTTCTGGCAACTCACACCGCACGCTCATGCCAGCGCTCATTATGAGACTTTGGTATGCTCCGCATATTGAACTTCCCGGGGGAGTACTGCTGAAGGGCGCCACGCTGGTGGCGATCAGACCAAGTGACGATGTGCTGAGGGAGGGGGGAGGGGTTGAGGCTGCTGGTCCGGCAGGAGCTAGCTGGATCTCAGATGCCTTTGAGGAGCCATATCGAACAGCGGCAAAGGTGCTTTTCAAGCGGCGGACATACAGCCTTGAAATGAACTCGTTCTGAGCTTCACAGAGGTTAACTTTCTAGGAGGTAATTTATCACTTCACATGATTATTGCACATCATTACTGTCAAATATTGATAGTAGCATTGCAGTATCCGGAAGGAATCAATGCAGTTTCCTTAAGTGGAACTACCTTTTTTTTTTCTTGCCAAAATCGAAGTGCATAGAGTGAAACCTAGATTCGCGCATATTTTATCATTATCTCTAAAGTTTGCCACCTATGCCCGGAAGCGTATATGCTGTTCTGGATTTATTCAATAATAAAGGATTGGGGTGTATATAAGCAAAATTATTGATTTTTGGCTCATTGGTTTTCTTCTTGTTCGTGAGCGTTATGAAACACGTGGCAAGGTTTTCTATGCCTCTCCAGTTCTAATGGGTCCCAATTCTGAAGGCTCGGTAGTGAGTTATTGAATCTAACACTGGCAAATTTTGTATCATTCTTATTGTTATTAATATTACTAATGCCCAATTTGTAGTTTTGTACTAAGTATTACAACTGGCACCAATGTTTTGCTTCTCCACAGTTTGGAAGGTTCCAAGTGCCTGATTGACATAACCATAACTATGGGTATTATGCAAACATAACTTGCTTTATGGTGAGCATAACTTGATATGCTTAGTTTGTTCTCCTTAATCAACAGAGAGTAATGGTAATGGGCACGGTCACAGACTCATGGTTTGGGTGATCAGGGTTTCCGGGTGCATATGTTTTGCATACGTATTTTGGTTAGTGTACTAACAGGAAAGGATTTAATGTTTATATAATATTTATTTTTACTGCCATTCTGTTGGTTTGCTGGACCATGCACTGATATGGCTCATTTGCGACTTTTGGCATGGTAAAGGCACAATATATGAGTTCTTTTCTAAGTCAAGGTTGTTGAATTGGTCTTACTACAGCTATTCGGATGTCTGTTTTAGTTCCTTTCTGTTCCTGCTGGCATGTTTGCTGCGATGCAATTTCTCGAGTATTAGGCAGGTGGTTACTGGGAATCAACAATCTTTTATGGTTTTTGGAGGTCATGTTATGATTAGATAGGAGAGAAAATAATGCTCGCGCAGTCTTGTCATCTTTACGGGACTTTTGGTTCCCAGCCGATGTTTGCCACTCCTAACTTTAGGCACGCCGCGCACTACATATATAGGTCCATGTTTGGTTTGCACCGCAACTGTGTAAAGATGGCAATCGGATCAGGCTTTGTCGGGGCGACCTTCACCAGACCCGTGCGTGAACCCATCATCTTGTCCAGCGCCTATGCATGACCCTATCCATGTATCTTTAATGGCACTCATGTCGCAACCTGACTGGTCACCCAAACCGATTGGGCACCCACCGGTTTTTTAGTATTTTTCTTAATTTTTACTTCATGCCCAATACTTGGCGCCATGCACTTCTGAACAGATGATTGTTGGTTCTTCTTCTAGTCTCATATAGTAATATATCTGCAGAGCTCCACCTCCTGTGTGCTTGATTAGGCGAGGTGGTACTAAAGCAGTTAGCCAGCTGCATATTTTGCTTGCTGTTGTGCATGCAAAGCACATGCACACGCTAGCTTTGGAGGCCCAACTGGCCAACGCCTTGCTCCGTTAAAGCTACTTAGGTAGCATTTAGTTCATTTATGGGTTTATCTCTTTCGAGCAACCCAACTGGCCAACCTGTTGCTCTGTTGAAGCTACTTAGGTAGCATTTAGTTCATTTATGGGTTGATCTCTTTCGAGCAATAATCAAAGCAAGATAGATGCATTTTACCCTAAAACAAATCTTTCACCAAAATGTCCACATGTCATTTAAAATTAAAATTAAATATTTAAGCGCTAATATTAATCGGGTGACCCATGGGTAACCCACGGGCACACACTCGTAGTCATGCCCTACCCACTACTAATCGGGTTACCCATGGATACAACCCATGGGGAAAGAGCACATTGCATACCCTACCCATTCGGGGCGGTTGCCCACAGGCGGCCATAACCATGGGCCCAATTGCCATCTTTATGACTGTGGCTTGCCGCACTTAAATACTCCTATGGCCCATGTCATAGGTTCAACATTTGGCCAAGCTTTGCCACACTTCTTGCTAACTTTTTGCTTAGCCACACTTCGTAGCAAGTCATGCTAGTGGTGTATGTTCGCTAGAATTTTAGGACCATACAGTATAGTGGCCCCTGTGCAAGTCTGCCCATTTATGGCCAGAATGGAGAATGACTACTTAAATGATGGATCCTCTTGCATGTTATGGGTCTACAATGGAGAACAATTCACAATGGATGCTTAATTTAGTACCGAGAATTGTTTTACTTCATAAATATACAGAGAAAGCTTATGGCGGGTTGATGCAAGACTCTAAAGGAGAGTATTATAGAAGTTTGTGGTATAGCCTAGTCTGTAAAGGAGAATTCTCTAGAAATTTTTTATATGGCTTACACTCTGAACTTGAAGGATACATTTTGTCTCATTGAATGCTTATTGGATGACACAAAGGATTTGAAATGGTGTGGCGCTTTCTTAGCACTTCTTGTGCACTCAACTGTAAAAGAAGATGAAGATTTGACTTTTAGAAGGGGCCAACAATGCTTTTCCCCAATCATACTTCCTTTTTTGCAACTCGTTATTTATGTCATATATAGTTTCTTTACTATTGAAATCAACCATTGCATATTTACAATTAATAGCACTGATATCCGTTGCATTTCTTGCGTATATGTTCTTTTACCAGACTATGAAGCATTGGAGATAATTATTAAAAATGTGCCTCTGTCCGTTGCATTTTTCCATTTTTTATGATTTATTATAGCTGATCCATTGAAATGTTTCACTGAAATAATTTTCACTCTACTTGCAGGATGATGGGATGCCCTTCAGGCGTATCAGCGTTTGCAGTAGTGGTGGACCTGACGCATATGCAGATTATATACACCCTGCTTGTGCTGGGCTTTTCAGCAATGTGGAACGGAATGTCTCTTCTACAGCAAAAATACCCTGAAGTGAAGCCTCTAGATGCTAGGTTGGTTGGCCATTGTTGACTATCCGCCTATTGGACATATTGGATCGAGTAGCATCCCTTTTTCACTGTTACTCTGCTAGTTCTATACCAAATCATAGGCTGAAACATTCTGTCATTTCCAGACACATTTTAGCTGTGCTGTGGCATATGTGACTCAAACGGTTGAACCTTTGTGTGTATCAGACTAGTAATGTTTCTAGATCGAACTTTTTACTACAGAACAGATGCATAATTATCTATGTCTATACCATAATCATTCGATCAATCCAGACTGTCCGACCGGATTTTTTAACCGACGAGGAGATAAGTAGGGAATTTTTTTCTTCCAAATAATTTCACTCTACTTTGATGTTTTAGTTCTGTGGTACTCCTTTGTTTCATTTACAGCATGCATTGTTGCTTTGTTACGCATGCTTGCATTATTGCATATGTGTGAATACTTTGTGTCGTACTCCTTATTGTAGTGAAGATGATCCAGGCAAAAGAGGTGGATAGATCAATCTATGCATTGCTTATCAAGGAGATTAGATATCTTATGACTATTCGTGAATCATGTATTACTCATATCGTTCATAGCCAAAATAAGGTTAGTGATAGTTTAGCTCAGTTTGCTCGTTTAGAAGGTAGAACCATGACTTGGATCGGTTCTTGGTTGCTACGGAATTAGCTACGATTGACTGTATGAACTTCTCGAGTTGAGTAATACATTTTTCACCCGCAAAAAAAAAAAACTTTGTGTGTGATACATTACCCCTCCACCCAGTTGAAGCATGAAAAGTTCCGCTTCTGTTCGAAACTGAGTGGCTGAATTCTTTGCCAGAGTTTAAAACCTGTGGTCATCGGTGAGTAATTCATCTGCATGAGGCCATTTGTGCCTCAAAAGTTCAAAAAAAAAAAACATGACAGAAGATACACCTGCGGCACGGTAACTGGCGAATAACGTCATGATTTTGCATGTCTCGAATAACAAGATATTTTAACCACGGTAACTGTCCAATAACATCATTTCAGCATAGTTCAGGAAAAAAGGCGTAAGGCATGCAGGCAGTTGCTCTTCGAATTGACTCGACGAGATATCACTCATTGTTCCATGGACCTAGTTGTATTTTTTTTACCTCTAGTGTCATAATTGATGAATGAATAGATTGGAAATTTCTCTTGCAAAAATAAAATTAAATCACTCACTGGTGCTAGCCCGCAAATCCAAACAAGAATGAGCTTTGGCTTCCATGACACATGAGAGATTTTTTGTTTCTTTTGAGACAAAACACTTGACCACTTGGTCTGGGCTTAAAAAGTTACGAAGCCCGGGCCAGGACCAGGACGGTCCAGCACCGCATTGACCACAACACGTCCACATCTCACCTTAAAAAAATGTCTCAAAAAAATATCTCATCTTAAAAAAAGGGTCCGGATAATTGCCACACGTGTGGTGTATCGGGTGGTTGTACCGCACGCCTCGTGTGGCATGGATAGGAACCCGCTTGTACGACCGCGTCCAGGCGCGCAAAGGCACAGTCCGCACGTCCGGTGTGTGGCAAACCCGCCCGCACGTCCGGGCCAGACGACCCCGTTGCCCACACGACCCAGCCGTCCCGGCCTCCGATCGATCCCGAGTCCCAACTGCCGCCATCGTCTCCCACCTCTCGAACCCCTACCTCCATCGCCGGCCTTCTCTGGTTGCCATGGCAACCAGAGCAGATCCGTAGGGCCTTCCCACCGCTAACCACACCCCAACCCTCCCCCCACCCCACCCCCCGCCCCTCACTCCAACCCCGCCCTCCAAAGACGACCAGCTAAAAGCAGGTGAATCTCCGATCTCCTACTGCTTCTCATCCTTCTGGGCAGAAAATTACAAATTTACCGGCGAAGGTTGCGACTGGATCCACGCTATCGGGGTAAAACACTACATGGTTTTGTGTGTCTTCGTATTTGCTAAGCAGAATACACCAGATCTGCCATGTACTACGCTAGAGTTAAGCTTAAGTTCTC